TAAGGTCGAATAGCTACGAACGCAGCGCTTGCTTTGAATACACACGTTCATAGCAGTTCAGATTCAGTGATCGCTTTTTCGTAGATTTTAAGAAAAATTGGACTACGATGGATTCCGCCACCAATATGTTTTCTCCTTTGACAAGATGTTTGAGAATCGCGGCAGCACAGCCGTATACCTACTCTTTGCTCTTACGCGCATATGCTAAATTTCTCGCACCTAGCTAAAGTGCTTGACAAAGGCAGAAGGCATATCTTCAACATTATAACTTAAAGTAAAAAAGTTTAAGGCATGCAATAAAAGAATCAACAGAACCAAAAAATGTCCTCAAACCAATAAAACATAAAAAATTGCACGAATAAAATTCATAATTTAAAATAAAATATCGCAATTGTTTTTTATATGTACATACATATTTACAAAGTGAATCTTAAAGCACCCACAGTAAGTCCTAAACATATAAATGACTAATAAGAAAAATAATAAATAACAGTAATATGAAAAAGTATGTCGAGAAATCTCTAAATAGTAGCGAAACTGTATCTCAATAATAGCAAATAATTTTTAGCAAAAAATACAACCGATTTCAATGCGCATTTAGGTCGTTCTGGTTACGTAGATCCGACTGTCCTCCCTTTTTTTAAATCGTTAAAAAAAAATTAATCACCCTCATTGCGAGAGTCGTGTCGAATGCAAGTCGTTTTTCGATAGTCGAATAGCCTAATTTACGACTTACGCAATGAGGCTGAATACGTATTCTATAGAAAAAAGTCAAGATACATATTTAAGGATTTTAAGCAAAAATAAATAAAGGAAAACTTGTTCGTGATATCTCGACTAAGGTGTATTCATGATGCAAAANAGATACAAAAATCTGAAGGTAAAACCGTTGAAAGGCAGCCTGAATATTTTTAAAGTTTGGTAACATTACAAAAATGTTTTCAAATTTTCAATCTCACAAATACATTCTCATTATCAGTCTCAAATAAATGAAAATTTCAATATTTTCATCTATTTGTTTTTTGTTTTACCTTTATTTGGCATTTGAGTTGCTCTCAAATTTTCAATTTTATAAAATAGACAAACTTCAAAAAGTAAATGATGGCCGACGAATTGTGCAAGCGGTTTTACCTTTAAATATTTGTATCATGGGTGTATTAAACAAGGGGCCGTATGCATAAAACCTAAGCAAATGCTTTTTCTTAAAATTTCAGACCTTTCACTCAATTTTTTCAAATAAATTTAAGTGAAAGGTATGAAAATCTGAGAAAAAGTAATTGCTTAGTTTTTATGCATACGGCCCAAGGTGTTATTGACAACTCAGTGCGGCTCTCTTTTAAGATACAATTATGTAAAAATATGAAAAAATATAAAGAAACGATTCAAAATTCATACAAATTTTTTTCAATTTGACTTTATGGGATGGTTCTTCTGAGAGCAATGTCAAATTCAATCACACTTTGTTAAATACATTTTGATCTCTACCAAATAATGTACTTCCTCTGTAAATATTTTATGAAGTGTTCCAAAATTCGCTCCGAGCGCGCTACCTGTTGATCATTTGATTTAAATAGTTTGTCAAAGAATTAATACTATAGTTTGATCGGAGTTAATATATTCTTCAGTATTGAATTATATTATATTAAAACATAAGCTTATGAGAAATTACTTATTCTTAACATGCATATTTTATATCGTGTTCCGAAATTCGCTCAGAGTGCGTTCACTATTGATCTTTTGATTCAAATATTGTTTGTCAAGCATTCAGTAGTGAAGTTTGATCGGAGTTTATATATTATTCAGTAATTAATCATATTAAATTGAAATATAAACGTATAATACGGTAGAAAGTTAGAAATTATTTAGTGTTAATATGCATAATTCGCTCCGTGTTCCAAAATTCGCCCCGAGTGCGTTCACTATTGATCATTTGATTTAAATAATTGTTTCTCAAGCATTCAGTACTATAGTTTGATCGTAAACTATATATTCTAAAGTAATTGATCACATTTTATTAAAATATAAACGTTTAATAGGGTAGAAA